TAGTGCCCCCCTCCGAGTCTCGTTCACCAGGGCGCCCCACACGGGAGACTCAACTATAACCTTTCATCGTAGAGAGGCGTCGAACTCGCTGCTCATCACCGTTCACACACACTCCCTCCTGGCGTTCCTAGTCCCCTGACATGGCCTGGTGGCCGGTCTGGGGCCAGACCTACCCAGAACTGGCCTTCAAATAGTATAATACCCGTCTTGACGAGACTGGTCAACAGCAAGGCGGCCTCAGGTGCCAATTGTGCCACGCATACATTGTCTGGTGTACCCGCCGTGCCAACACCACCGGGACCGTTATAACAGCACTCTCAGTACCACAGAGTCACACTAACATGGCGCAAGGCCTGCCACACTAACGCCTCCCAGAGCATGATCTATCATGGTCTAGCCGTAGGTCTACAAGGATCTCTGACAGACCTCCAGGGAGGACGAGATGTGTAGGTTTAACAAGATAAAGATAATGAGGACAGGGTTCGAAACTGGAGTTCGAGATGAGTGGCCGGGAAGTGAAGAACACACACAACAGGTCAGCAAGGGCAGTGGACAGGGTGAGGACGATGTAGACAGGTGGGTGCCAAGCGGTGGGTACAGACCCACCAAAGAAGGGTCGCGGAATTCTGAGTACAAGTTAAAATTTAACATTTCGCCCCGAGGGGCGAGTTTATTGGCCAGCGTCACTCATCCTGTGAGTGAACATACCACCATATCAATAAGAATATATCAGAATCCTCCAGAATTACCAAGTGTTGAGTATACTGATTAGCAAATGTTTTATTTATGAAAATGGAGCAGGGAGTCGCGGGTTATTTGAGTATTACAAAAATGGGTCGCGAGCTCAGGGATGGTGGGAAACTCTGGCCTGCACAAATCCCGCTGTTGTCATCACATCAGAAGAAATAGAGCAATGTAGAAGATGCACAGTGACCACAACACAGCAGTTGCAACATCAGGATCTGCGGGTTGGTACAAAAATTCAACCAACTACGAACCACTTAGTTTGATGAAAGGGAGCAGTAGAACAACAGAAGTACACTTACATCGCATCAGGCTTGGATACCCATGTGCATGGGAAATAGGCTTACAGGTTCCGGAAGATGAGAGGAAATGTCAGCACTGTGGAGAAATGCCCGACAAACCACTGGAACATTATCTAACACAGTGCACAGTTACAAACCCATTAATTTAAGACTTCAACTTAAACTCAACAGAGCAGAAGAAGTTGTTAAACACATATGGCATAATCTTACTGAAGCGACCATACGAGTCATAAATACTCATACTCCGCCTAAGTAAAACAGAAACAAGCAACACTTAGTGGGCCAGCCAGAGGCTTAGGGCCCACGCAGGAATATCGCTGCAAAAAATCAGACGAACGGGAACACCAGAGGAGGAGGAGTTTATTTATTTATGATTTATAAATATTCATAAATACACCATTTATGACGAGTATATAATGGGCTGGACGACAGAGCGTCCAGCCCATTATGTACTCGTCCTAAATGACGAGTACATATTGTACAGGAAAAAGTGCACCTGGAACAGAGGCATTATTAGGGCAACCCAAGCTACTGTCAGCTTGTTAAGCCGGACACACTTGTGTAGGCAAGTGTTTACCAGCTTCCTTATAATACACGGCAGCGCTCCTAGCAACAAGCACAAGACAGCGCACAAGATAGCACACCAGGCAAGAAGTGCAGGTGGATCAGGCTAGCAGCAAGCTAGAAGCAGGCGCAGGAGCAGCAGTAGACGCAGCAGCGGGAGCAGCAGGAGGCGAAGCAGGAGCAGATAAGAGAGTGAGTGGAGGCGAGGTACAGGAGGTCACGCCGCCTTGACCTCCTGTGAACCACTGGCCGCTCTCCCCTGACGTCACCTCCTCCTCCTCCTCACCCGCAACAGTTGCCAATAACAAATGTCTTGTGGATATAATGCGTCGTTGATCTGTACGGCGTCCCTAGTTACCTCCCGTCCCTAGTAACACCCCGTCCCTAGTTACCTCCCGTCCCTAGTTACCTCCCGTCCCTAGTAACACCCCGTCCCTAGTAACACCCCGTCCCTAGTTACCTCCCGTCCCTAGTAACACCCCGTCCCTAGTTACCTCCCGTCCCTAGTAACACCCCGTCCCTAGTTACCTCCCGTCCCTAGTAACACCCCGTCCCTAGTAACACCCCGTCCCTAGTTACCTCCCGTCCCTAGTAACACCCCGTCCCTAGTTACCTCCCGTCCCTAGTAACACCCCGTCCCTAGTAACACCCCGTTCCTAGTAACACCCCGTCCCTAGTTACCTCCCGTCCCTAGTAACACCCCGTCCCTAGTAACACCCCGTTCCTAGTTACACCCCGTCCCTAGTTACACCCCGTCCCTAGTTACACCCCGTCCCTAGTAACACCCCGTCCCTAGTAACACCCCGTCCCTAGTAACACCCCGTCCCTAGTAACACCCCGTCCCTAGTTACACCCCGTCCCTAGTTACACCCCGTCCCTAGTAACACCCCGTCCCTAGTAACACCCCGTCCCTAGTAACACCCCGTCCCTAGTAACACCCCGTCCCTAGTAACACCCCGTCCCTAGTTACACCCCGTCCCTAGTTACACCCCGTCCCTAGTAACACCCCGTCCCTAGTAACACCCCGTCCCTAGTTACACCCCGTCCCTAGTAACATTCTATCCCTAGTAACATCCTATCCCTAGTAACATTCTGTCCCTAGTAACATCCTATCCCTAGTACCATCCTGTCCCTAGTAACATTTTGTCCCTAGTAACATCCTGTCCCTAGTAACATCCTATCCCTAGTAACATCCTGTCCCTAGTAACATTCTGTCCCTAGTAACATTCTGTCCCTAGTTACACCCCATCCCTAGTAACATCCTATCCCTAGTAACATCCTATCCCTAGTAACATCCAGTCCCTAGTAACATTTTGTCCCTAGTAACATTCTGTCCCTAGTAACATTCTGTCCCTAGTAACATCCTGTCCCTAGTAACATTTTGTCCCTAGTAACATCAAAGAAACATCTCGTCCCTAGTAACGTCCCAACAGAAACCCCCATACCTAGTAATTTCCCCCATCACTAACATCATAACCACCACCACCATAATGATCTCCATCACTGCAATACACTATCAAGAGATCAGTGTTTAACAATCTTTGCTTAGAGAGAACGACCGTTGAATGGCCAGGCGTATCTGGCTTGTTAACAACGGGACCATAAACAGGACTGAACGAGGCTCCCGCCGGAGTCCCGTTGTCTCAGAGATCATGTTAACGAGGATTTTCCTAATTGAAACAACGGGGGTAGGTTCCCTCCTCGTTATTACCAACCGTCTCCCTCTCGGTAATCTCACTAATGTCCCGGATACTTTTCTAATGATCTTTATATACACTCAACAAAAGAACCATTCGTTATCAAACCTGTTAAAAAAAGGGCATCACTCACGTTATTTTCAATCACTTAGTCAAGGTTGTTGAGTCGTCGAGAACTGGATAAGTGAGGTAGAGCAGGACGCGACCATTAAGGTGCTTCAGCAAAGTAGTGAGAGGTTTTACGAGCGATGGCGGATGGCTGCCCCCCTCGGAGTGTAACCGATCACAACTCACGCATGCGCACTGCGTCCCAGGATGGCTGGCGGCTCCCCCGATACTGTGGTCGTGGGGGTATCATATTCTCTAACCGATTCGTATCATATGTAGAGTATATCAATACGTATTAAAAGACGCATTCAGAAATTTTAACATGCTGTTCAATCAAAATAGGAATTTTCTGAAATATAAATTAATATTGTTAAATATTTGAATACTGAGCATATTTAGGTACTGGTTAGGTGAGGTGTTTAGGTTCTGTTGGCGATTATTTATATTTGTAGTACGTGGGTGAAGCATTTACAGCGTTTTTGTTCGAACAAAAGTCGTCAGCTTCTGAAGCACTTGTCCCGGAAGTGTTCGGACGTCAACAGTTGTGAGCCGTGTGTAAACCGTTTTTCATTTATAAACAGTGGGTTTGATTGCAACGGCTGACCCCACATTCCAGCCCGTCCTCATAAACAAAGGCCAAAGTCCATTCCATGCACCCGCCAAACCCACTGTTTATGAATGAAAACGGTTTACACACGACTCACAACTGATGAAATGAACACTTCTGGAACAAGTGCTTCACTGACGACTTTTGTTCGAACCACAACGCTGTAAATGTTCAGCCCGTCCTTCAAACAAAGATCCAAAAGTGATTCCATGCACCCGCCAAACCCCCTGTTTATGAATGAAAAGCGGTTTACACACGACTCACAACTGATGACGTTCGAACATATCCGGAACAAATGCTTCACTGACGAATTTTGTTCGAATCACAACGCTATAAATGCTTCATCCACGTACTACAAATACAAATAATCGCCAACAGAACCTAAACACCTAACCTAACCTATGATTATATATACACAATATGCTAATATATTATAATATAAATTTGTACTTGAGAAAATTCCCGTTTTGAATGAACAGCATGATAAAATTTATGAATGCGTCTGTGGGGTTGACCGCTGAATGTAATGGACTTGAGTCGAGGACGGGTTGCAATGTTTCACCCACGTACTACAAATACAAATTATCGCCCACAGAACCTAAACACCTCATTTACCATGCTGCCCTTCTTGTCGTTGGTCCCTCCCCCCCCATGCCCCTGGTCACATGGTAAGGCCATCTAGGATAATTATCCGTCGTTTATCTCAGTTTTTTTTTTCAGTTACAGCCCCGCTCCTGTGCCAGGTAAGTTCACTACGGGCTCACCATAGCCCGTGCTACTTGGAACTTTTTGTTCCTGAATCGTAAACAACAATAACTCAGACTTTTGATAATTACTTGACATCACAGGTGTCACCTGGCAGCCTCTCTACCCCCGAGGCTTGTTACTACAACCTGCAGTTGACACAAGCATGGGAGAGGGAGGAGGGGAAGGGGAAGGGGGGCGGTTGAGTAATTTCACGGGCAGTAAAATACCATAATGAACATAAACGTTTATTTGTAGTAATTGACAAATGTTACCTCATCTATAACTAAATTGCACAATAGACAGACACCAAGTGCCCTCAAAAACTATAAGTTTCTTATAACAACTATCTATCTACATATATATATATATATATTTATTTATTTATTCATATATTCATATTTATATAAAATCTTGACAAGCCGTAAAAAAGGTCTTTATATATACAATGGCTGTTCTTTATACACCGGAGGGGCCCCCCCTGAAGAGCCCTGCATTGAACACATTTTGCCCCCCTCAAGAACTAAGGTGTTCTTAACCCGTTGACCTTTTGCCCCCTCAAGAACTAAGGTGTTCTTAACCCATTGACCTCTTGAGTGTCACCGCGACACTCAAGAGGTCAAAGCTTCGTATTGTTTACATTATTGTGAGTTCAAAAAACCTTCTCTCAATAACCACCGACAACATTTATCTTCTCGTTTTTGGAAAACTCGTAAAATTGGTTTATAATAATGCTATAATAATTTATAATAATGCCACACATAAAACTGCATGTGTGGCATTATTATGATGAGATGACAGCTAGAGAGAATTGATGGGGGGACCTAGGGTAGGTCTTGATCAATGCGACTATTACTATTGGTATGGTAACACGTAGAACTTATATACATGCCCACACTACAACGTTATCGTGGGCACACCATATGTATGTCGCAGCTGGAGAATACTGACGCAAGCCTCAGATGTCATGATAGTCGTGACGCAAGCCCTATGCGTCACGAGAGTCGTGACGCAAGCCTTGATCGTCACCATACTCATGACGCAAGTTCCAAACATCACATAAATGCAACAGAAGCACCACTCAACACAATGCACGCGACGCAATATTGAACAAAAACCCTTAAAACAAATGATAAAGTTTTAACAAGTGCTATACATAAAGTGTCAAATGTTCTTACCCCTTACAAGGCGCAGGTAAGTGTTTGTTCTCGTGAGAGGAGACGAGTCACGTGAACTATGCGCACTTAACACGCCCCCCTCCCCCCCATGAACACACATAACGTCCACGAATGTTGAGTACACTCATAACTGCAAGTTCACTCAAATATATCAACAGCACAGTTACACATACTGTGCACGGGGGAACTGTGCACGCGCACAGGCTGTACTGGAGGCTGCAGAAGCTTCACGATATTTATACAGCGTTCGCCAAGGTCACTGGTTGGCCACGCCACCGTTAAATTCGTTGAGACATCACTTTGACATTCTTGAACTCTGCCAGCGTCCTGCCACCGCCTGGACTCGGCCCCCTGCCACCGCCTGGACTCGGCACCCTGCCACCGCCTGGACTCGGCCCCCTGCCACCGCCTGGATTCGGCCCCCTGCCACCTCCTGGACTCGGCCCCCTGCCACCGCCTGGACTCGGCCCCCTGCCACCGCCTGGACTCGGCCCCCTGCCACCGCCTGGACTCGGCCCCCTGCCACCGCCTGGACTCGGCTTATATACATCTCAGTAACACATGGCTAGTAAAGCTTATTTGAATGAAGACATTTAGGTGGCTGGGAAGCCTAGGCTGAAGAACACTTGGGCAAGTGGATGACCACGAGTGAGCGCACTTTAGGTGGGGGACAAGTGCGCCACCCTCCACCACTGTCACCTGGAGCTACGAGGAGGTCGCCACTCTCTCCTCCACTTGTCACATGGAGGCTGGGACACTCCCGCCACCGGGGTTCCGCTGGTTGCTACAGGCGAGAAACAAGTCATAGTCGGGGCAGAACTCAGCGTGCTGAACTTCCTCGTGTAGCGTTCAGTCTACACAGGATTCACGGCATAATCTACGCCTCTCCCACTCCCAGGAATCACGTTGACTGCTGATGGATAGCAAGAATAGCATCTAAGTGTTCAACTACGTGGCAGGTGTATGATTTTCTCCAAGGTAGGAATGTTGGAGGATCAGGAGAAGGCAGCTGGTGCAGTAGAGGGCAGCCACTATGCTGCGAAACACACCGTCTGACTCAGCTGGGTCACAGTAGCCAGCTGGCTACAGTGGCTGGTATTGAGGGTGGCGTTGGCAGCACTCACATCTGCTAGTGTTAGAGGTGAAGAGTGAAGCATTGTGCACCAAAGTATCAGCTTCTCAACTTAGCTATTTAGTCGTAAAGGCGTGGTGCTTCCTCCTGATAATTCCGTTCCGTTCCTCAACGTTAAGATGGGCGGGTGCCACCTACAGTGCCTCGGGGTGCCACTCGCAGTGCCTCGGGGTGCCACCCACAGTGCCACCGGCAGACGCTCACAGCATCGCCAGGTGCCGCTCAGAGTGCCGCTGGGTGCAGCGGCCGGAGCGGCACCGTCGTGGTGTCATCCAGTGATGGGAGCCAGGCACTGATCTTGGGAGGGGGGTCAGTGGTCCAAGGAGGGAGCTCCCCCGCCTCTACAGATGGCACTCGGTGGTCGCGCCCCAGGCTGACCTCCCGCGGGTCAATAGGGTCAAAGGTGAAGACGTTGAGTTTGGTGGGCGTGGCGGCTGAGTAGGGCGGCGTGACGTAGGAAGAGTACTCTGGGTAGTCTGGAACTTCCTGTGTTGGGGACGCCTTCCAGGGCGCTTCCAGGTGTTGTTCCAGCTCCGGGGACGCCGCCCCCTTGTGCACAGCCGCCCCTGCAGCCGCCCTTACAGGCACGGGAGCCGCCACCGCCACCCCGCCGCCCTCAGATACGCCATGTGATGACATTGGCGTTAATGGGGATCTTCGAGGCGAGGAATTGGGGGACGATCCCTTTTTACTAGATCTTGGCGTGTGTGTGGGCGTGTGAGTATTGGCGTGGGCGTGGATGGGAGACTGGGTGTCAGTAGTGGCGTGGGAGGAGTCGTAGTAGCCCCAGGCGGGGTCCCGAGAGTAGTCTAGGCCGTGTTGGAGGCGCACGGAGTAGTGGTGATGGTAGTGTTGAAGGTGGGCGTAAGCGGTGGGCGTGGGAAGGGAGTACGGGGCGTGGGTGCTGGCAGTGTGGGTATGGGCGTGGCCACTGTTGAGAGCCGTGGGCGTGATGTAGGAGGTGGCTGGGTCCGTCTGTGGGGGGAGACAGATAAACATCTCATTAAACACACTCAGTTTCTTCCTCCTGGTAGAACCGGCTGAATAAAAACAATGAAAAGAACCTTTGGAGTCATGATTAGATCTCTTACACCAAAAACAAAAAACAATTCAAAAGAGTTCGAAAAAAGGACAATAAGTGACTAGAACTCATATCTGGACACATAAGCTGTGACGACAGCCTTCAGCATTAACATGTGGTAACATGAGGCCTCACCACACTAGAAAGTGAGGGGACGCCGACGTTTCGGTCCGTCCTGGACCATTCCCAAGTTGATTGTGGTCCAGGACGGACCGAAACGTCGGCGTCACCTTCACTTTCTAGTGTGTGTGGTCTGGTCAACATACTTCAGCCACGTTACTGGGACTCATCGTCTGCATGAGGCCTCACACTGACAGTACTGAATAGTTTTCTATACTTGATCACAATGCTGTCTATTATATTCTAAGTACACACAGAAGGATGTCTAGGTAAATCCCAGCCATGGATGCCAGGACTAAACATGACCTGGACTAAACAATCGCTAAGCTTACACTCCCTAGAAAGGCAGAGTAAGAGTAGGCGGAGAGTGAGAGTAGACATAAGTAAACAAGGGAGAGATGTATATAGGATTCTAGAAATATTTAACCAAATGTTACTACACGAAACAAAGGGTTGAAATAAAATATATTTTTGATTTGTTTGGAACATCATGCAACATATAGAAACAAATTTTATAGACACTTTGAAGAATCACTTGGATAAATCCGTGAGCGGAATTGGCTGGATAAATAGCCGCCTCACATGGCCAATAAGCCTTCTAGTTTCCATATTTCTTAAGTTCTTATAAACTCAAGAAAATTTCAACAAATCCTACAACTCCAAATCATCCCATGCAAGTCTTCATACAACCATGTCCAGAAATAAATAACTTTATCTTGCCAAAAGACGCAAGCAACATACCTGATAGGTCATGACCTGGGGGTAGTAGGCGTGGACCCTCTGAGCGTGGGCATCGTAGGCAAGGCCATACTGGAGCTTGGACTGCATGGTGTAGTAGTGATAGAGCCACGAGTTGGCGCGTAGTACCGCCGCCTCCTTCTCTCCCAAGACCTGATTGGTGGCCACGATCACTGGCTGCTGCTGCTGCTGTGTGCTGCTGCTGCTGCTGTTACTGCTGTTGTTGTTACTGCTGCTGGTACTGCTGCTGTTGCTGCTGCTACTGTTGCTGACCTGTGTGCTCTGCCCCGTCTGTTGGCTGGAGTCGGCGGCATCCTTCACCTGCAGGACGCAGTGGACCCAGCGCCACGTGCCTCCTGCAGCCTGCAGACGCACCAGCAGGATGCACGACCTGTCTTGCTCGCTCGTCGTGACTGTGGAACAAGCACAAATATAATGACTTCACTCACAATGATTCATAAACACATTGCAAGACTATCCACAATAAAGCAGATTGAAACATCGTTGGCTATTTCTCTCCATGACAAGTCTGAGACTAGAACCTTATTGACTATTAAAGACTGAAAGTGACATCTTATTGGCTATCATCGCCCACGGCATAAAGACTGGGACCGTGCCGGGCTTGCGCTCCAGTGTAGCCATCCACGCGACAGCCACTCACCAACAGCAAAAGGTTATGGCTTATGGCTGGAGAGAGCAGGAAGGCCTCTCCAGCCATAAGAAAGCATCGAAGTAGACATGTGACAGGCGGGACGTAATCGCTCTCTAAGGTACCACGGTACAAGCCATCGGGGAAACAGGCCCCCAGAGACTAGAGATGGGAGAGGTAGGGGGCCAGGGAAGTAGAGGCGGAGGGAGGTAGAAGCCAGGTAGGTAGAGACAAGAGAGGTAGATACTAGAGAGGTATACTCACTGAGGCGGTGCTTGGTCTGGGCCTCCCTCATGTTCTCAGGGTGCAGGAGGTGGTACCACGACACGCCTGCCAGGGACGACCGACTGTATCCAAGGTAAAATTCACCGCTGTAGGGAGGAAGGCCAAACATGCATTAAAACTCTCATACCGTCAAAACCAAACAGTAGTAAATCAAACCAAATTGAGATGCAAGGATATTAATGTCGGGAACCTGCATCTGAAACTGATATTAATATGTAAGCCCACGACAGATGCGCTTAATTGCTAATTTGAACGTCGGAGAGAAGATTCAGGTATGGTGAGCAGAGCCCAAGGAAACTGTACACTGACAGGTGTATCTCTCTTCTCAATGAATATATGCTTTAAAATTAACGTTAGTGCTGGACAATGTTCAGGACTAAAGTGGACTTGCTGGCTCGTCAGTCAACTACTGTTGTGGCCTTAATAACCAACCCGTCCTCACAGCAAATCCATTACCATGAGAAAACCTCCCCCTTCTAACCACCTGGATAGTTAGCTAGATATTTGTGATGATCTGAAAGGATCTTACGGTTCCAATAATTGTCTACAAGTAAATTGGGAAATAAACATTTGCCGTAAACATAGATTATTCTCAAGCTATAATTTTAAAGTAATATAATTCGCGGGTTTAAAATATAAAAAATGTATGCTGAAAACGTTTTCTTTGAAGAATTGGGTTTTCTGTAACTGGAATTCAAGGGCACACTGAAATAGTTTTGATTTCCATATTTCACATTGTCATAAATAATACATAACATTAACATAACCAAACGCAATGAAATCTAACCTAACCTTACCCAACTAAACCTTAATCTAAAGTAACCTTAACCTAACCTAACCATGGATAGAGAGTAAATAATAGCACAAATTACATAGTCGTCCCCAAACCATTCCCATGAGCGGATATCCTCCCACAGGACAGGTTGCAGCAACACTCCAGAGATTAACAGGTCTTAGTAACCCTCCAGAGATTGATAGGTCTTAGTAACCCTCCAGAGATTCATAGGTCTTAGTAACCCTCCAGAGATTCATAGGTCTTAGTAACCCTCCAGAGATTCATAGGTCTTAGTAACCCTCCAGAGATTCATAGGTCTTAGTAACCCTCCAGAGATTAATAGGACTTAGTAACCCTCCAGAGATTGATAGGTCTTTGTAACCCTCCAGAGATTAATAGGACTTAGTAACCCTCCAGAGATTCATAGGTCTTAGTAACCCTCCAGAGATTAATAGGACTTAGTAACCCTCCAGAGATTGATAGGTCTTAGTAACCCTATAGAGATTGATAGGTCTTAGTAACCCTCCAGAGATTCATAGGTCTTAGTAACCCTCCAGAGATTCATAGGTCTTAGTAACCCTCCAGAGATTAATAGGACTTAGTAACCCTCCAGAGATTGATAGGTCTTAGTAACCCTCCAGAGATTAATAGGACTTAGTAACCCTCCAGAGATTGATAGGTCTTAGTAACCCTCCAGAGATTAATAGGACTTAGTAACCCTCCAGAGATTGATAGGTCTTAGTAACCCTCCAGAGATAAATAAGTCTTAGTAACCCTCCAGAGATTAATAAGTCTTAGTAACCCTCCAGAGATTGATAGGTCTTAGTAACCCTCCAGAGATTAATAAGTCTTAGTAACCCTCCAGAGATTGATAGGTCTTTGTAACCCTCCAGAGATTAATAAGTCTTAGTAACCATCCAGAGATTGATAGGTCTTCGTAACCCTCCAGAGATTAATAAGTCTTAGTAGCCCTCCAGAGATTAATAGGTCTTAATATCTCTCCAGAAGTTTACATGTTTTAATAACTCTTCAGAGGTTGATTGGTCTCAGTAACCCTCCAGAGGTTGATTGGTCTCAGTAACCCTCCAGAGGTTGATTGGTCTCAGTAACCCTCCAGAGGTTGATAGGTTTTAAGTCCAGCAATAAAAGCGGTGAGAGTTCTGGGAACTTGAAAACGCTTAAACTTTAACACACACTAAAGCTCACTCTCACTCTCTCTCTCTCTCTCTCTCTCACCTTTCACACTCTCATCCTAAGCTGTCACCTCTCACCTCTCCCTGTTCATGGAAGCGTGACTCCCCCTCCCTGGAAGACATCTTGGGCCTTATCTCAACATTACATAAAGTTTAAAGCAGCTTCCCAATTTTTCTCGCGTATGTGACTCTGCTTCACAAACAACATTTTATCTTACGGAAAACACACAGTAGGGCTATAATCCTTTATACCCAGTGCGGCCGCGCGTGTATTAGGTTTCAGGGACTTTAACCCTACTGCCAAGCGTGTTTAGGGTTTGTTTTAGCTTGAAGAAGTCTGGCACAGAAGTTTCGTTAAAGAATGCGTCTTAAGCTACGAGCATTAGGTGGATTTTCCATTTCTCCTCACAGATAAAAACATACAAAAATATGTGACAAAAAAGAGCCTAGTGTTATGTGTATTGAAGGTCTGTTTTTCTTTTTTTTCGTACCTGAAAAAAAAATATTATCAATATACTTTTTAGAGAAATCTGATCCTTGTGGCGTATGTGTTCAAGGTCCAATTTTATCAATATTGATGATGTGCTGCGTGTCCGTACGGTGTTTTATTATAGCCTATAATGTCCAAAACTATTTTCAATCGGCGGAGGAAATCTAAGCCTTAAGTCAATGACGTTCAAAGTCTATTTTTCCGCTTTCTTACTTTGTCTAAGTCAAATTTATGTACGTGTTAAGGCACTTTAATCATTAACTATCCAGGATATATGTGAGATAATTGCTAGTTCCGTCTCTCCATGCCCATTACCCTGTATCAACACAGGGAGAGAAGAGTGTAGTGTCACCTAGTGTCACCTAGTGTCACCCGGCCTGGTGACACCCGGCCTCCTGGACCATTTATCAAGGCATATAATGACGACTTAATAATGATCCAGAAATGACCAAAATGTCGCCGATTCTTCACTTTTAGATCTGTGGGTTGGTGTTTAATTTTGTCTTTGTGACTCATTATCTGCACCGCTATAGGGATATTATCTCCAGGAACTCACATGTATTGATCATTAGGCCGTCATCACTTCCCTCTGGTGCTTATGTTCATGAACTAATATTACAAGAACATTGTTTTTTTTCCCACCTCACACGTCACCTTCCTTAATCCTGCTTATATACTCAAGAATTGAATTGCATTGTTTGCATAGTGCTATGAATATTGCAATTGCATGTTGACCAGTGTGGGTATTAACATATTGACCAGTGTGGGTACTAACATGTTGACCAGTGTGGGTACTTACTGGCCAGTGTGGGTACCAACATAGTGACCAGTGTGGGTACTAACATGTTGACCAGTGTGGGTACTAACATGTTGACCAGTGTGGGTACTAACATAGTGACCAGTGTGGGTACTATCATGTTGACCAGTGTGGGTACTAACATAGTGACCAGTGTGGGTACTAACATGTTGACCAGTGTGGGTACTAACATATTAACCAGTGTGGGTACTAACATGTTGACCAGTGTGGGTACTAACATGTTGACCAGTGTGGGTACTAACATGTTGACCAGTGTGGGTACTAACATAGTGACCAGTGTGGGTACTAACATGTTGACCAGTGTGGGTACTTACTGGCCAGTGTGGGTACCAACATAGTGACCAGTGTGGGTACTAACATGTTGACCAGTGTGGGTACTAACATGTTGACCAGTGTGGGTACTAACATAGTGACCAGTGTGGGTACTATCATGTTGACCAGTGTGGGTACTAACATAGTGACCAGTGTGGGTACTAACATGTTGACCAGTGTGGGTACTAACATATTAACCAGTGTGGGTACTAACATGTTGACCAGTGTGGGTACTAACATGTTGACCAGTGTGGGTACTAACATGTTGACCAGTGTGGGTACTAACATAGTGACCAGTGTGGGTACTAACATGTTGACCAGTGTGGGTACTAACATGTTGACCAGTGTGGGTACTAACATAGTGACCAGTGTGGGTACTAACTACAATCCAGACTGTAGCTAAATCGTCTTCCCATTCAAACGCAAATCTTTGTATCAAGATAAACAAAAGCCTGCCTT